GATCATGGCTTAGCTCATGATGTGAGGATCAAATGAGACATAAGAAATTGTTTTGTAGATTCCTAAATGCTTCTAAAAGAGAAGATAGTGGTGGTATTTAAAAGTATTTTTAAATATTATATTTTATTTACCTTTCAAAAATCTGTCTTAAGTTGGCCGTGAAATAAAGAAACAAGCTGTTTTGGGGTGGGTCTGATTATTAAAATGATGTTGCCCAGCTGTTGCTGAATTTAAGACAAAAGACTAAGCAATATGAGGTAGGTTTATAGTTTAGCATAAAGGGTTTAGATTAGGTATGAGTAGGATCTAATAGCAGTTTGATTTATTTGAAGCTGTAGTGTTTTTCTCAGGCATATTATAAAATTTTCTTTAGGTGCCTTCAAAAATGAAAAACAGATTTTCATGTGTTTGTGTTGGGTGAGGTAGTGTCCTACTGAAGATGTAAAGATGATTAATTTACTACCATCTCTAATGTTTACCTCTACCCCAAATGTCATACATCCACTTTATGTCAGTCTGGAAATATTTATGGAATCTGAACTCTTCATAAAAGTAACAATTCTAGTTTTAAAATATCCTGTTGTGTGCAGTTTGCAGAATTTCAGTATAATTAATGAGACAAGAAGCTGGCATAGAAGTCATTGCTTAAAAACCTTCCTTAATTTTAGCCATTCTGACAGGTGTAAAGTGGTATCTCATCATAGTTTTGATTTGTATTTCCCTGATGATGAGTGATGTTGAGCCTCTTTTCATGTGTCTGTTGGCCATCCACATGTCTTCTTTGGAGAAACATCTATTCGTGTTTCTGCCTATTTTTTAACTGGATTATTTGTTTTAAAAAATTTTGCTTCCTATAGCTGTAAGTCTTGAGGTAATCTATAGAAAAGTTTCTTATTTTATTCCTGAAAATCAAAATTCTTTACATCAGCATGTCATATATAGGAGGATTGCTTGAGTTGGAGTTTTCAGTATTTCAGTGTGTATCATGAATTCTGTATTATGTATTGTTGAACTATTCATATTAGAAAATGAAGCTACTGGCAGTGTTTATCCATACATGTATACAAGTAGATGGAAAAGACTAATGTACTTCCAAAACAGGCTTTCTTCTATATCTTATGAGAAAATTCTGACCTTTGATTTTTCTCTTATTACTACCATTGCTGTTGCTACTGCTATGTTTATTGAACGCTTAGTACGTGTCAGGCATTGTTCTAGGTGCTCTAGATATATTAACACCTTCAATTCTCATAATAATCCGCTGACTAGGTACTATTACCATCCCCAAGTTAACGGAGGAGGAAACATGTATAGAGAGATTAGGTAACTCTCCTGGGCTAACAAGTAGAACCAGACCCTTTATTGTTTGGTTCCAGAACGTGTGCTTCTACAATACTGCCTACCACTAGTCTATTACACTTGTTGTGATAGCACTCTGTGTATTGCTTATTCCGTCATTAGGAAAATAGAACATTTGCACAGTTGGAAAGGATAAAGAATTGCACAGAATACACTGTTAAGATTATAGTGTGGATTTTAATTAACTTCCCTTGACTTACAAAATTTGACATCAGGAATTGATTTCATATGAAACTTCAGTAGTGTGAAATGTCTATTGGATCAATTTTTATGAGCATATTAAAGAAAGGCAGTGATTAACTCCCACACTCAACTCAGATGCTGACATAAGAGTAAGTGTGCAAACTATAACGCAGCAGTAACAGAGTGACTTGGAGAAGAAGTGGGTGCAGGACACAGCAGAGCAGCCAGTAAGTACAATTTGATCCCCTTTAGTGCCAGTCATTTGGAGAGCCAGAATTTGTTCATGCATGTTAACTTGGTAAACTTAAAATGACCATGTATGATGTGGGGGTCAGTTTGGTGTGTTTAGGAAACTGTTTTGTTCAGGAAGAAACATTAGAAACTGTCACACATGTCTAGACAATCAGAATTGTTTATATCAGCAAAACAATTTTCAAGGAAACATGACCTGACCCTGCATCAGTGTTAGAGATCATGGAAACCTTGTGTATTTCTTATAAAATGTTTCAGTAGAAAACAGCCAGAGTGTATAAGCCCCATGTGACTTTAATACATATGAACAAATCAGGATTGTATGAAAAAAATACTCAGTGTCATTAAGTAAAGTAGCTGAATATATTACAAACCCTTGATCACATTGACAATATCATAGAAGTAGTCAACAACCATAACAATAATTGTGAATCAGGAAAGTGCTTTATGTGCATTATCATATTTAACCCTCTCATGGTTGAGAAAATGGAGGGAAACAGTTACATGCACACGGTTGTACAACTAGCAAGTGTTATTCATTCACTTATTCAGTATTTATTGAGTATAACTACCATGGAGGCTGGCACCGTTCTAGGGAGTGGGGACTTAGCAATGAGTAAAACAAGGACCTACTTTCCGAGAAGGACCTTACCTTCTGGGAGGGAGATAGACAACAAACAGATAAACATGGAAGCATATGCTCAGTCAGTTGATAATAAAGATTATGTAGAACAGTAAGGCCCAGGAAGGGGGAGGAGTGCCAGGGTAAGGTGCCCGGATGGGCTGTTGTTACTTCTTTATATGGGATAGTAAGGGGGAACCTCTCTGATAAGGCAACGTTTTAGCAGACACTGGAAGAGAGAGAGGGATATTTGTAGAGGAAGAACATTCCTGGCAAAGGAGAAGAGGTCCCTGTGCTTGGAGTGCCTGAGGAAGATCAGAGAGGCTGTGTAGTTGCTAGGGGTGAAGGGGAGAATGGTCAGAGTTTGAACCCAGATTTTATCTGACCCCAAAGCCCACATTTTAACCACTACACTAATCCGATGGGCCAATCACAGTATTACATAACCTACTGTGATTTTGGAGACACTCTGTATTAGCAAAATGCATACTCTCATAGAAAAGTGGAGGGCAGTGAAGTTCTACTCTAGAAGTTGTGTGTTGAGTTGAGAATATGTGAGAAATCCGTGTGGCTTGGGGAGAGGTGCTTTGGAGAACAAAAGGTAGGGAACAATTGTGGACCATATTGGGGAACCTGGGAGTATACCTCCCCTGCTCAGAATACTTTAGTGGTTCTCTATTGCCTTCAGAGTTTGGGGGACATTATGTAGCTTTCCCAAAGCCCCATAGGATATAGACCTAGTTTTGAATGATGATAAAGACCATTTTCATTACTGCTAAGCTATGCTGCTCTTTTCAGAATGTGAAATCGTTGCATACTCCTTGGCTTCCTGTCACCTACGGAAGGATAAGCCTTGGCAGGGAGCGCAGGGCCATATGTAGTAGCTCCTTCCTCCACTTTTACCCTTCCTTCTGCTGCCCCTCCCTTGCATCCAGGCATGGAGCAAAACAGTACTCTTCAGTGCCATGTATGTGGGACTTTGTACTGCAATGAAATATCTGAAATATCCTTCTCTCTCTTGTTTTCTTGTTTAGAAAGATTTTTATATCCTTGAAGACTTGATCGCTTTCCTTCCCAGACTGAGTTACAACTTCTTGCCGTGGCTGCTTTCAGAGCTTACATATCTCTGTACTTGCTCATCATTTCCAGTGGAAATCATTCTTTGAGTCCCTGTCCTTCTAGCCAGGATTAGAGCCCTTGCTCTGTGCTACCAGAAAAAGCTATGCAAGCATGGACCTGCTTCTTATCACATTTTTGGGGGGGAGAATTTTCCAGCCTCTTCTTTCAGACTCTAAGTCATTGAGAGCGTGTGCCTCATTTTGATCTATGTTGCAACCACTTAGATGAGCACTTGGCGTATAGTTTACTGGCTCATTCAGATTAAACTTAGAATATTGGATGCTGAGTTATAATGATGACAGTTTTGATTAGAGCAAAACAAGTAGAATATGTTGGTCAGTGATGTCAGTTCACTCAGAAAAAAATAGATGGTAATAAAAACAGCACTACTAAATGAAAGATTATTGTGTGCCAGATATTAAACTCAGTGCTGCAACACATCATTCCATTATTCTAAATGAAATTCAAACTTGAAAGATACACCTTATTAGGTATAACTTTCGAGTTAAATTAATGTCATATTAGATATAACTTTTAAAACTAAACTCTAAAAAATGCATTCATTTTCAAACTGTTGCTCACTGGATGGTAGGAGGTGTTAGTGGGACTTTAAGTGGAGGGAAAATGTCCTTAGAAAGGGACAGACATCAGCTTTGTTTTTTTATACTCCGTTTTTAAAGCGTTACTACAAATGTGTATACTTGGCTACATGCAGAGATCTTCCGGAAAGAACACTGTACTCATTTATAATTTGGACATAGCATGGTGGGTGAGATAGAGGGCTGTTGGAAAAGTGAGCCCAGATGAGACCCTGCATAATGCAGTGCTTCGTGCTGGATCAACGGTTAATTGTAAAGGCTTCAGAAGTGCCATCCTTACAACCTAAGGCCCAAAGTGGGCTACTTAAGGCCACGGTCACTTAGCCTAATTCCTGACTTTCATTCAGTACAAAACCCATTCATTAGGAAGTCTATTGAGTAGTTTTTACACAGGAATTCTCATTGCTGATTGCTTTGTGTTTCCCTGACAAGTATACTATCTCAAACATATAAGCTTATAATCACTGATAAATCATTTTTAGACATGTTTTTAATTTGGGCTTATAAACCATTTATATGTTACTCTAGCAATGTTGAATTATACTCTGAAATATTTTTGAATGCAAATCTCAAAACAATTTATCATACACTTTTCTCACACTTCTCATAACACAATGTAGCTTTTCTTCCCACCCTCGCCCCCCCAAAAAAGGGGGTGTTGATTTTATTATTTCCTTAATTTCTCAATATTTTGTGCTGAGTAAAGTGGATTAGATATTCTTTATTTAATCTTAGTACTTAAAGCCTATCAGAAGGAAAGACTATATTAGTGCTCAGAAAGGATATTTAAGAAATTATTTTGCTTTTGACTCTTCTCGTAATCCAGTAGACATTTATTCTAAAGCTCTTTTGTGGTTTTATTGCAGTGACCCAGCTGCCAGAGCTCTGTGGGAAGCCTTACTGAGCACCAAGCACAAAGAGGCAGTGATGGAAGTCCGGAGACATCTAGTGGAAGCAGCAAGCAGAGAAAACCTGCCAATCAAGATGAGTATGGGTAAGCATGTCCACCTCTAGGACAGACAGTAACCATGGGCTCTGAGGAGGTTGCTTTGAGCTTCTCTGAACTGTGGGCCAATCTAGCCAGCATGGTATCTCAGTGAAAGTATCGAAGACATTTGTAAATTGTTGAAAGAGTAGGCAAGGAGTAGGGACACACTGCCCTCAGGGGTCAACAGTGACCCCCTTTTTTAGACTCAACTTTGGGAACGAACACCTCTTCTCCTACCCTCCCTCCCTCCCTCCCTCCCTCAACTTCCTTCCTTCCTTCCTCTCTCTCTCTTTCTTTCCACAGTTCTAGATACACATTAATAACAAGTGTGTTTACTGTATAGAGTTCCTTATCCATGAGAATGGTAAAACAAGAACAGATTCATATTGTGAATCAAGAAAAGTAGGATTGCACAAAGGTTTTGGTGATAAGGTTAATTTATACTGCAGTTCAATGATGTAACCTAACGATGCTATCACAGAGCATAAATCAATTTTTATTGCTCAATATAGGACTCTTGAAAGATCAACACACTTTACTTTTCTAAAGGACTGTATCTTTTTAAAAATATCAAAGCCAGAAATAAATTGTTAAAAAAGACAGGTAACCCCATGAATTCAAATTTAAATGTTTGAGTTTTCTGTTGAACAAAGGGGAGAAAAAAGCCTCAGATGAAATGATTTACATTCTCCCCAAACTCCAGACATGGGGAGAGAAAAAAGAAGGAAAGATACAGACAGTTGTTAGCAAACTTTGGTTGTAAGAAGAACTGAAAACATTGGCCGAAATCACACTTTATCCGTGTGCCAACTGTAATTTGGTAAAAGCTTAACAGTGCGGCTCTCCGTTTCTGCTTCCTATCACTAGTCAGAATTTCTGGTGTGTCTCATTTTCATATACCAACAGATATATCACCATGAACAGTAAGAAAAGATCTGGAGCTTAAACATAATAAAACACTGGTATTTGAAAATTCCTTATCACATAGCTTATCATAAAAAAAAATCATGCTCTGGCCTCTTAAATGGCTGGAATGCTTTTTCTAACACCATTTAAAACTATGAAATATGCTTTAAACTATGTACAATTCTCCCAACCCCTACTGTAAATTCTACTGAAGTATACATTTTTCTGTGATAGAGGTTTCTAATACTTTTGAGACATTAAACAGAAATTTTAACTCAAGATTGAGGATTCTCTTGTATTTAAATTGACTAAGAGTGAACCCGTGATTCTAACCTCAGATCTTAAATATAAAATTTCTCAGTACAAGGTAAAATCATATTAAAACCTTATGAACATCAATAGAAAGAAACACCATTCTGTGAAAGGAAAAAAGTTTAATTGCTAAAACAAAGAAAAAGTTCATTTTATCATTTCACATATAAACACATGCCGTATTTCCAAGAGCTTGTTATTAAATTGTCAGTTAGCTAAATAAATGTGTTCCAAAAAAGTGATTTTTAAAACATTGTAAGCTGAGTTGATTTTTTCCCATTGGCTTTCAAGATGAAAAATGTATCCTGAAAGTACAAAAGAAGTAGACTCTGAGAAACCCATTTGTTTGGATCCAAAATGTCCATTTACAGAAGAAATGAGTAGAAGATGCCTGTCTCAGTTTCAACATTTTACACAGAATCTGTCTCTCTGGAGTCCTTCTGTGGTTGGAGGATTTTCACCAGTTTGTCCTCTTGCTCTCTGCAGAATGGACATACTTCCCAGTGTTTAATGGGTGGCAGGAAGATCACATTGGAGCTGAAGGAAAACAGATTTCTATGACATCTTTCTTTTGCAGCCAGATTTCTTGGCAAAGTATTCTATGCTTGATTTATTCTTTTTCTTCATTATTTTCTTGCTTATTAATCTAGTGCAGTCTGTCTTCTGACACTTTTTTACTAAATGCTAAGTGAAATAAGTCAAGCAGAGAAAGTCAATTATCATATGGTTTCACTTATTTGTGGTACATAAGGAATAGCATGGAGGACATTAGGAGAAGGGGGGGAAATTGGAGGGAGAGATGAACCATGAGAGACTATGGAGTCTGAGAAACAAACAGGGTTTTAGAGGGGAGGGGGGAGGGGGGATTGGTTAGCCTCGTGATGGGTATTAAGGAGGGCACTTACTGCATGGAGCACTGGGTGTTATATGAAAACAATGGATCGTGGATCACCACATCAAAAACAAATGATGTATTGTATGGTGACTAACATAACATAAT